GAGTAGATGTTTAAAGTCTTTTTTTTTTTTGTGGGTGGGTATACATGTATTTTTGTTTATATGTGTATATGCACACACACGTTAGTCTGGGTGTGTTCCTACTCAACCCAGAGAAGGTTGAGATAGAGCCTGTCATGTTAAGAGAATGTCCTACAGCTGGAACATTTTGAGTAGGTAGCACACTCCATGTTGTAAACTGCTCATGCAGCAGGACTGAGAAAAAGGCATCTCCTGGCCACCGGCTGTTCCTAACTCCAGGAAAATGAAAATACAGCATCTCCGCACCTGTTCACCTGATGGTGAAGGAAGGAAAAGCCATTACCGAGTGACAGGAGACAAAAAACCAAAATCCACTTCAGCAACTCATCCCAGCGCTGGTGATTAATCTCACACTCCCACAGCCTGATGCACATTAACCAGATAATTAATAATTTCTTTAGGGATTCCGGCTCGGCAACTGTTTTATCAACCTGCACAGCATTAGGAGAGGAGATGCTGCATTTGTGATCAAACGGCTGGAACCGAGAAACTGTTGGAGAGAAATGGCGGGCTTTGCTGCAGTTTGTGAGCCTGCTTCAAGATGAGCAAGTGTGGTGTGTGCTGGCCACGTTAATTCTCTTTCAGTATAGTTAGCTGACTTGAATGTCCAAGGAATAAGCTCTTCTCTGCTACCTTCTACCTACTTCATTGAACAACTGGATTTTCTTCTCAAAAGAAGACTCCCTAATATTATTATAGCATCTTAGAGTCTTAGAGACATGTGGTTCACCAGTGTGGATACAAATGATAATAAATGAGAGAGAGAGAAACCCGCTGAAGTAGAATATATAAAAAATAAAATAAACTGACATGTTGCCAGAACCTTATAACCCAAGGCTTTCAACTAATTGGGTGAGCAGTATAATATTCCTTAGTATATTACAGTACTCGCTCTCAACTTTTTGCTGTTTCCTGTTCACAGTCTTACTCTCAAGGACATAAGTCATAGAGAATCAAGATTATTCTGTCCAAATGCTCTGCACAAATTCACCACTCTAGTTGCATGTTAAAACTAGACCATAGGAAAGAGTCTCCTTTTTTTTCTTTTTTTTTTATTAAGTTTTTAAGACTGTGACTAAAATCCCAAGGAGAATAATAAATCACAAAGAGTGCTATTTAAAAGGCTCAGCATTAAGCTTTCACCTTATTCATTTTCTCCTACAATGTGAAAAAATCTTTATTGAAAATATTACTTTACATTTTCTCTGAAGTTTATACTGAATGCTGTTTGGATAGAAAAGAAATGAAAATACAATTGAACCTCACAGAATTATATTAGGTGTGTGTGTTTGTGTGTGTGTGTTTTGTACTTGTCTAATGAACTTATGAATAATTTTTAAATTATAACTACTGTGCTTGTGGTATATCCCTTTATTATAATATAAACTCCATGAGGGCAGGGGAATTTTACCTTTTTTTTCCTTCAGAGTTCAGGATAACGTCCAGAACACAGCAATAATTTAATAACTTTTTTCTTTTGCTTTTTGGTAAGGCAATAGAGATTAAGTGACTTGCCCAGGGTCACACAGCTAGTAAGTGTCAATTATCTGAGGCCGTAATAACTGTTCTTCAGTTGAATAGGGTCAACCCTGACCTACACAAACCTGCATATCTGCCCATGTAATCTCAGTGCACTTTCCTGAAAGAGGAACTAAGCACTCAAATACGCTGGGAAACCATACTGTATGAACCACCAAACTGGCTCTATCCAGTAAGCACACGATTCCAAAGGGATGAGCTTTGTTCTCTGATGGAGATGCTGGAGAAATCTTGTTTTCTCAGCAGTTTACACAGCAAGGGAGTCTGAATAGACTTGGGCTTTGGGGCCAGATAAAGAAAACTGTACTGCATAAGGATCAGAAATTCAGGTTTGCTGAAACCTGAGCAGTAAAAGTACAATATTACACTAAATTGAAAAAAGTTCTGTGGCAATACACATGTATCTAGAATCATGGCTTTCTCTCTCTCTCTCTTTTTCTTCTTCCTCAAAATGGCACAATGCCAAAGCAAACTCCATGAAGAGCCTTACAAAATGGAAACAGCATTTTAAAATAACTATAAACTATTTCAACCACTAATTGTTTTTAAGATTTCGATATATGCTACTAATTGAAAATGTGCAGCTCTTTCCATTCATTAGCTTTATAACAAGTGTTCCAATGTATTAAAAGAAAATCTGTCACAGACATCTTCCTTAAAACTTTCACTAACCTATGCTAACACATGCTTGGCACTACAGATATAATTCTCATTAATTCAGCAAAAGTCACCAGACTGAACAGAAGATGAGAATTTGGGGTTTATAATGAACAGGTCACCATCAATTCATGTATACACAACTCCATTACAATGTCAATGTCAGAAGACCAGGACAGCACTGCTTTCTACATTTAAAGGGAGACAAATTGTACATCACTGACTACATGTAACAAGATTTTTACTGTTATCAGATACCAGCTTACACTGTACTGGCTGCTATAAAATTCACTATGCTGCATGCTGTAAGATATGTGAAAAAAGCAGGGCCATTACCTTCTCAGAGCTTATGATATTAATTAAATAGAACACATGTGAAGTCCAAAACACAGACAGGTGTTCAGGTCAATATATATGTATCATCTCTAGCTATGCTTTGTATATAGCTGTCAGTTTCGAAATATCTATCCTAGAAATTCCAAGATGGCAGGTCAGGGATAATACCTTCTATCATTAAAACTCTTCCTATCTTTTTCTTTTTTTTACAAGCACTTAATGAACCTATAATAGATCTATAAACAGGGTCCTCAATGACTAATGACAAAAATTAATTAAATTCCGCAAATGTTTACTATGTGCCTACTATTGGCCAATGTCTGAATTATAATATATAACTACTACTATGATTATGATTATTGCAAACCAAGAGATGAACTTTCCTAAATTCTGGAATGTTATTATAGAATTCATCTTCTACTGTGCTAAAGAATGATACGGGAACATTATCTGCTTTAGTGTTTCCATATGTGCCAGATCTTGGTTTCAATTCATCATATTTTTTTAAACATTGACTATAAAGTACACAAAAATTTTAAATGATTCTCCATACTATGGACCAGGAGGCAAGGCAACATAAATTAGCATAGAGAAATAATGTGTCATTTTACATGAGGATAAGAAAAAGTATAGACTTACTTTTTTTTTTTAATGTAGGCTTTTAGGGCTCACGGTTGTACCAAATGGAGAAATAAGGGAAGAACTGGGATAAATGTTCCATTGTTACATTGATACCAATCCACTACAATATTACATATTTTTCCATAAATAATGATAATATTCTGAAAAACACTGAATAAGCTCTCTTTCACAGGTCTTGGTCAAATAAGGATGGGGAAATCAACTTGAGTTTTAATATCAGACTCATTCTCAATTTCTACTTGCTTCTCTCTTCCCATCCTTTTATTTTTATGGGTTTTTCCATTTTTAAAAGATAAAATGAGTAAACTAGTAAGCAAAACTATGAGACTTAATCAGGTATTATGCAAGAGATTAATAAACTATTTGTAATATTTTCTGAGGAAATTATTAATTTTGTTATTATTTGTACAATATAACCAGGCTGTCTCTGTCCCTAGCTCAAACTTTCAAAACTCCAAACTTTTCTGAATTGTAGTTCTTTTGCAATTCTGACACCGTCAGAACTATTGCTTATTGGAGAAAGTCTTGGGAAATAAGACTCCTAAGGTACGTTGTGCCTGGATTTGAGATCATGTTACATCACAGACTAAGACCCACCACATAAAGGAGAGAGGGTGAGTACTAACTAGGAAGGAAAAGGTAGTACCATGGAGAAAGCACACAAGGATAAGAACTTAGAAGAAAGCAGCTATATGAGCCATAAGACTTAACAGATGAAGAAGCCGGAAGCAAAGCCATGAGAGTCACAAGAGACAGGCCACATTATGTGGCCTAGCCATTACATCCAGTTTTATGACTTGAAATGTCATTTGTCAACAACCTTGGGACTCAAGAGAAAGAAACTCAAGAGGTACATAGCTTCAGATCTTGAGTTTCTCCATGAGTGCCATCAGTCTTAACTGATGGTGTCCTCCTACTATGGAAAGGAAGCAGAGGGAATCAAAGGGATACATGAGTATAACTTCCTAGTGGTATGGAAGGTGGTTGCCATTTTTTGTTAGTATGTGCAGAGAAAGCCTGCTATTTGATTCAGTTTCTTGTTATTTACCTTCATATTCTGCCATAATCAAAGACTTTTTGCCTGTGAGTTCACGTGTCTTTTGTATAGCTTAAAAGAGATACACTGCTAGGGGATCAGGAGAAAATTTGTCGATAGTTTATAACATGAAACAGCACAACAAACCTAGAATGTAGTAAAAATGGCCTCAGAATCATGTAGTGTCTAGGGTTACTTTAGTTTTAGAAAAGTATTTTTGTATGTACCTGACCCCAGCATAGCAGCCTGGTACTGATTATTAAATGGGTTTCATTACATGAATCTAATAAAACTGTATTCATATGTTCACTTTTTTATAGTGTAATTTCCCTAGGTCATTTACCTAGTCATGTACGGCACTGTAATTTTCTAAACTTTCCAAACTTTCTCAACAGAAGGACTATAAATACGAATGTGAAATAAGAAAGTGTTCATCATGTTAACTAGCATAATTTTCAGATGTTTTAAAAGTCTCCAGAACAAAACTGTTTTGTCTCCAAGATGCCACGCTCAAACTTTAACCCTTTGTGGAAAACCAACAAAGTAATATGTTCCAAACTCTCTTACAAGTTTCTCTGTCATTCCCCATATTTTTCCTTCTTGGTGTACTAAGCCAGTACTGGTGACAGAACCACAGCCAACAACATGTCTATAAATGCACATATTTAACTTGTCAGATGGATGGTAGCAACCACACTTTACAGACAGAAGAGATAAGAATCTTGTCATCAGGCAAGTGACAGGAACTCACCCTTTCAGCTCTGGGAGTCTCCTCTATCGTCTTCTGAATATTATAGGGCTCCCTAGAAAACTGTAAGCAAAGAGAAGGCATAAGGAATAGTCAGTCCTAACCACCATCTCCTATTGAATAGGCGTGTCTGATTGCATATAATAAACACCATATTTGTGCTCCCCTCAAATTCCCACTAGTAAACATATTGTTTCACTCAGTATTATTACATATTTGCTCCAATTTTCCCAGGCTGGCTCTGGAGATTGACTATTTTTCAGAGCCATAGGACTAACAGGTATTCTGCATTCTTCTGTACATAGCAGGGACCTATGAACTTGCACTTTTTAAAAATGTATAAGAGTATAGGGATTATGTCAATACAGAATCACACAGACTCATAGATTTCCTGAGTGGGAAGGAACCTTGTCCAATGCATAAACTAAAAGAGGATTCAGCTTATAATAGCAATATACTCAACAAGTGGTCACAGCTCAGAGGTGCTCTACAGAATACCTAGCTGCATTATGGCCATCCCATCTTCGCCTTATCCCTGGCATGGCTGCAGAAACTAGAATATGTTGGAACATTGTAGCCACATCTACTTTCTTTTGCCCTTGCTCAAGAGAATAAATGCATTTTTCCTCCTGCCCCCTCCCCCGGCCCTCTTCCACCCATTTTCAATCAATACAGGTTTAAGCCAACCCAATCTCCAAATCCAAACAAGAGCCAATGTATTTTTTTTTAAAATCCAAACCTGTACTCCCTTTGTAAAAAGAAATATGAACTTCTGTTCCCATATGTTATCATCTCAGGAGGTAAGGGCAGATCAACTCAAGATAGTCTCAGAAGGAGGTTTTGGGAAAACATCATTGTTAACCATATGAAGGTAACAATGAGAGAAGAAATCAGCAAGGGCTATTTTCTACAGATCAGGAGTTTGACTATGTCTTATAGACTAGACGTGCTGATCATACCACATGCCCTTTCCCACAGAAGGCAACATCAAAAGCTTTCAAAAGAAACATAGAGCGACAGTATCCTCATTGGTATGCAATGTGACAGTTCAGATCCAAACTCTGGGCTATCTTTTGAACTCTCTGTCAGGGGAGGAAGACTGTTATTTTCCTTTATCTTTTACTTTTAAGAACTTTTAGTACTTGTGATTCTCCCTTTCCCTATGCTCTCCCTCTGTTGGTCTCTCTGTACGTGTGTGCCCCACTCTCTTCTTTCTCTCTTTGCCTCTCTCTTTCAGCCTAGATTCAAGCATTAACCTTTGATGTAACATTTTTGCTCCACATCAGAATGGATAGAATGAGCTTCAGAGAAGCAATTGAGTTGAGAGAATGAAAAGGATGACATCACTTCAAACGTGGACTTTCCAGAAAATTATCCTTTCAAGCATTCCTCTGTGCTGTCTACTGGGGACACTCTACTCTCCCTGACCACTGCATGCTGCCTAGGTTTCATCTGTTTTGATAACCATTTGTTTTGTGTCTCTGTTCACAACATTTCATATGTGTGTGTGTGTGTGTAACTTAGGCTTGTATACTTTTTCAAACTTCTGTATTTACTTTATAACTCCCAAATGAAAGGCAGGAATTCATTGCCATCAGTTATTAGCTTGATAATTCTAAATAAAGTCAATATAAACATTTACATGGCCACCTGCCCAGGAAGAACACTAGGAATGAAAATATGTGGCTATGCAACTAGTATTCTCTCTGTTCTTGTGCACATTATACCATACACACAAATAAGGCAGAAGGAGCAGAAACTTTAACATTGGTTGGGTTCTGTTATTCCCTTTGTGCTAAAAAGTTATTGGCAGATTTTTTTTCTTCATAATGAATGAATTTCTCCCCAGTCTCAGGTCCTGACTATTCAGAGAGGTATTCAGTGTAGACCACTACCAACATGCCACAAGATTTTTCTGCCTTCTTCAAATACACTGGGATCATCTAAGTAGAATATTCACTTCCATCTCACATGGAAAAGGATCAAGCTATTTCTTTTAATAGGATTTAGCTAATTCAACTCATGAACAAACACAGTGATAGGAATCTGGTATTCAACCTTTTAAAAATAAATACATCCCTCTTTAAACTCCTCCTCCCAAAAATATTTTGCCATATTTCCAATCCTTCAATTTTTAAACTTGTGAAGACTTAAGGAAAATGTAATCCATATGTCTATGATTCATTTACACTCAGTTCATCAAATTTCTGTTTTTGTATTAAATGTCAAAATGCTTTTTATGTCTCTATTTATGAACTCTTTAAAGTCTTTATTTTTAAATTATGGGAGAATGTGTTTTGCCAAGTTTAAAATCTACAAAGGCATTCAAAATTCTGGTCTAAACATCAATTTCTGGGAGAGCTAATTTTGTTTACTCCTGGGAAACTTCCTGTTTTAGGAAACATACTTCCAAAGTTTTATTTGAAATATTTACAAGAGTTTTAGATATATAATCTCATATCCTTTATTTCAGAAGATGTGCTGACTATTTCTAACTACTACTAATGTATACAAGGGTGATTTTGATAATTAGTGTTGTCACAGTCCTTTTCATAGTAGGAGATTATATATGCTAAATGTCTGCATGGTCTGTAGGCATTTAAATATACAATATATAATCCTTAAGGTTAGAAGACAATTCTGACTTGTCTTGTTATTCATGTAGGAGAGTGTACTTCTCATGACTGGCAACCCTTCCTTGCTACATCAGCAAACTTCTCTTCTCAGCACTGAACATCTGCTTCCAGATACAGAAAGCTCATCGTCTTCTTCTTTACCACCTACTCAATTTCCATTCATTTGCTTCAATCCAACTAGAAATTCTGTAAGACTGATAAGTGCACAAGAAGATCAAATTTTTTTAAAAAGCTCATTTCCCAGAAAGCTGATTCTTATTGGAGTGTACACCTCCAGATGTTCCAAATATGAGAAGCTACCAGTTGAGTATCAAGGGTGCAGTGAAGAGTACTGAACAAAAAGTGAGGAGATTTGTGTTCTAGTCCCTGATCTGTCACTCAAATTCTTTTGTAAACTCACGGGAGTAGGCTGAACAATCTCTAAGGTCCCTTCTAATTCAAAATTTGCCTTGCTCTATGTTTTGACGTTATCCTTACTCAGTGTCATTAAAACTTTACCTATTCACATCAGTTTAAAAGTGGACAGTCTAAATGAGTTCCACACAGTTCAGGAAAATCACTGATAAGATACAAACTATCCAGAGGACAATGAGGATGGTTAAAGGCCTTGAGTCCATGATCTAGGAGGAGCGATTGAAGGAATTGACAATGTATAGCTTTAATGAAGAGAAGAACCAGGAAGGACCTCATAGCTAGTGTTCAAGTACATGAAGAACTATCTTGTGAAAGAAGGATAAGGCTTGTTTTTTAACCAGAGAGAGTAGAACCAGGATCTCTTTCCTCCTCCCTAAGCACAATGTCCATCCAAAGGAGACCTCGTATTAGATCTATCTTGAGGCCTTTATTGAATGGGGAATGGACGGAATTTTTCTACATGTCTTGTAGTCTACTAATAGGGGAGGTTTCTCCACTATACTCTGTTCTCCATGATGCTCAGTGGCCAATCCTCTTAGACACAACCCCTAGTCACAGAACATTTGGGGACCAAGCAGAAGTTATGTCATTTCAGCTAAGTGAGGTTCTCATCTCTTTAGTCAATGTGAGTGTCCATCCTCATGGAGCTAGAGCATACACTCCAAGATAATGACCCTGTTACTAGTAGAAGTTGTAAACAGGCAAATTTAGGTAAGAATCTAGAGAAGGGGACACTTTCCTAATAATTGGAACTATCAGAACTATCCAAAAGTTGAAATGGACAGCCTTGGGGGGGGACAATTTCCTAATAAATAAAACTATTAGAACTATCCAAAAGTTGAAACGGACAGCCGTGGAAGGTGGTGAGTTTCCCTATATTGGAGGCCTTTAAGCAAAGGTTGGATGACCACTGTTTGGGTATGTTATAGTAAGAATTCCTTTTCAGATATGGGTTAGACCAGATTGCCACTGTACTTCTAGCTACCTCTCAAATTCCGTGAATCTGTGAACTCGAGATACCCTCCCCAAAAGGCTAATTTGTCAGAATTTTGGGGGAATATCGTTTCAGTTTTTAATTCACATTGCTTCAGCTACCTTTCTCCAAAATTCACTCTTTGCACAAAGAATCTATGAGAGAAGGATACATGTTCACGCCTTAGCAAGATGGAGCCATATTTAGGTATAGTACTTTGGGTTTGGGTGAAAGGTTACTTGTTGCAAAGAGTTTGAACAGGTGATGGATAATTCTGATAAAAGGGCAATGTGAACACCTACTAATGTAAGTTTGTTGCTAGGTTAACAGTGTTGTCTAATAAACAAGAGTGTTTTGTTTCAATGTCTTCAACACTTCAAAAAAAAAAAAAAAGCTGTGATTTCATCAGTGTGGGTTTTCCCCAACCCAACGTAAAACATAAGCCTGCAACATCTTAGTAGATGAACATCTCAGTAGATGGCTTCCTGGCTTTCTGTTGCCAAAAATAAACATTACCAAATAGCCAAGCTTCTGGTGATGAGATTCTCTGAATTTAGACAAGCTGGTCAGTCCTATACTAGCCAGGCCTTTTAAGTTCCTTGTTAGGCATTGTCAGAGCTTGCACAGCTTTCACAGTAGGGCTCTAATGAAAATGTCTCTTAATACTAACACGGTGAATTTTTAAAAAAAACTTAAATTAAAGAATGCTTTGAAAGAACTCTAAATTGCCACTTTTTTGTTTTTTTTGTTGGACCCTTTTTTTGGTGATGCACTCCGCTTCTGAATTAGTCCTGTGTGGAAGAGTCACATCATGCTTCTATACTGCCACAGCACTGACCTACACTTTCATTTGAATTTTAAGCAGAACTAAGTATTTTCTCAGTTCCACCCACCTGTCAGCATATAGCTGCATAATAAGATAATATTTTCATTTGATTTTAAAACACTAGACACCTGCAGAAGACTTCCATGGGAAATGAAGAGAACAATTGCATTAAGTTTTGTTTTAATAAACCCAAGATTCAGTGTCTCTAGCATCA